GAGGTAGAGTATCATGGGAAAGGCACACAACAGTTTCAACTGGACTACACAATTCCAGAGCTGAAGGTGTACTACCCACCACATAAGCAAAAGCACAAACCCCACCTTACATATTAGGGTTTTAATCATGTTATCAATGATCATGGAAAAGGAATTGTTGCCATCATAACAATCAGCAAAAAAAAAACAAACACAAACCCATGGTCACCCTGTCAATTCTGCCTCACAGTTACCCTGTAAAAGGGGAAATGGCAGCAAGATGCAGAAAAGTCTGTTTCTTTCTGGCTTCTTTCCCAGCTAGGAGATGAGGCTGGGCTCAGGAGACAGCAGCACACACAGCCAGGCGCTTCCGGGCACCAGGATCCTCCATTTCCCCCTTGAGGGGCCGCTTTTGGCTTGTGGATGGCTGAAAATAAAGACCAAGAATGGTGTCGACAAGACAATCAGTGGCTTAGACCACCTTTCCCCAACAGGCGGCTGGTACATTTTGGACATTTCGTGGGAAACTTCTACTACCCAAAGTGCCCATTTGCCATTAAACTCCCACCCCACCCCCACCATACGGACATGCTTATCCAATGGACACTTCTCGCCCTTGTGGCTTCTGACCACTCAATGGTATATCTCAAAAGCTAACAGCCTTTAACCAACTTCCTCTTGGCCTTCTCCTAAATCATGCCGTCTGAGTCTATTCCAACTCACAGAGACCAGATAGGATGGGGTAGATCTATCCCAATGGGTTTCCCAGACTGTAACTCTTTATGGGAATAAAGCTTTGACAGCGCCCCCCCCCACCCCCTCAAAGGATCGACTGTTTTTAAACTGCTGACTTTTCGGTTGGTTAACAGCCCACCTTGTACCCACTCTGCCACCAGGGTTAAAGGTACTGCTACACCTCTCACTAGGAGCCCCAAGGGTGGGTGTGATGTGGAAAGATAATCCTTTTTGTACCCTTGTTGTTTTCCCATTTGTAAAACTGGACACTGGGGGCAATGGTGGGAAGAGACACACCATGCAGAAGGCAGGGCAGGAATAAAGAGATGCTAACTTACACATACAGAGGCCTGGGAGTACAACAGTGAAGTGCTCAACTGCAAACCCAAAATGGCGGCAGTTGGAACCCACCCAGCTGCTCTGTGGGACAAAGACCTGGTGCTCTGCGCCCACAAAGATGATTGTTTTTTGTTAGGTGCCATCAGTCGGTTGCGACCCTATGCACTGCCTGGTCCCGTGCCATCTTCCCAATTGCTCCCATGCCTGGGTCCATTGTTGCAGCCACTGTGCAATCCACCTCCTGGAGGGCCTTCCTCTCCTTCGCTGCCCCTCTACTTTACCCTAAGGATCACAACCCAGAAACCCTGTCACATGAGCTGAGGGTCACAAAGGACTTATAACAACCTAAGACCAACTTACACTAATAAAGGGCATCAAGGGAATAAACCTATAATCCAGAAATCATCAACGACTTGCCCCAAATTTAAATTTTTCAACACACTTCGGTTCAGGACTTCCTGGCTGGCAATCCTTCGCCGTTGCTATCAGCAAATCTTCTAAGGGTACTAGAGTAGACCAGGATGAAATAGTAGCCACTGCATGATTCCTAAGACCCTTACAATTTTACTAAGCCGAGCCTTCGAACTTCTCCTTATGAAATACATCCTCTCTCTTAGTTAAGGTGGTGGTTGTTAGCTGCCATCGGTTCATACACAACAGAACAAAAGGCTGCCCAGCTCCTGCACCCCCCGGGATCGGTTGGGGTTCAGAAGACTACTGATCCGTAAGGTTTGTATTGGTTGGTTTGGAAGTGGACTGCCAGGCCTTTCTTCCTACTCTATCATAGCCTAGAAGCAACCTGAAACCCATTCATCACCCTAACAACATTCACGCCTCCACCACAGGCAGGTGGTGGCTGCGCATGAGGGACACTGGCTGGGAATTAAACTGGGGTCTCCTGCACAGAAATATGGAAGGGGCCACAAATCAGGACTGTCTGGTCAGCTCCCATTCCTGGTGACCCTACTCCCCTATCCCCGGGGTCACAGGAGAACTGTGCTTGGCCTAAAGGGACTTCAAGAGCTGATTTTTCAGAAGTTAACCACTGCCCCTCTCTCCTGAGCATCCCTCTTCAGACACAGCCTACATTCAGCGGCCATTGCCCAATACCTGGGGTGGGACCTGGGACACGGCTGTCGATTGACTTTCCTCCGAAAGCAGCTCTTGAAACCTCCTCCTCATGTCCTCATCCTGTGGAGAAAAAACACACAGGTCAGCCAGGGCTGTGGGACAGAATGAATGCTCTGGGAAGCTGGGCTGGGATACTGGGCTCCTGGAGGAGAGAGGCCGGTAGGGAGGCAGCCCCTGAGACAGGTGGAGCCCCTGAGACAATGGCCCTAAGTCAGTGGTTCTCAACCTTCCTAATCCCGTGACTCTTTAATACAGTTCCTCATGGGCTGGTGACCCCCCAACTATAAAATTATTTACATCATTACTTCCTAACTGTAATTTTGCTATTGCTATGAATCGGGCGACCCCGATGAAGGGGTTGTTCGACCCCTAAAGGGCCCGTGACCCACAGGTTGAGAACCACTGCCCTAAGTCATCTCTCAGGTTTGGAACTCTGGAGCTGAACTCTCACTCCCACGGCTCAACTTTCAGCCAAGCAATAGACAGGGTTATACAAAAACAAAACAAAAACCAAACGCACTACCGTTCAGTCACAGTTACCCTATAGGACAGGGTAGAATTGCCCCTGTGAATTTTCACTCTTGACAGGAGTAGAAAGTCCCATCTTTCTTCCTAGGAGTGGCTGGTGGTTTAGAACTGCTGACTTTGCAGTTAGCAGCCCAACACGTACCCACTGTGTCACCAGTCTTCTTAGACAGGTCTGTAAAGGGGGACAGTAACACAAAGGAGGTCCGAACTCCTTAGAATCCCCAGCCCTTTGAGATCAAAGGGCAGCATTTCCCCGAGGACAGAGTACAGAAGGGTTAGGGGGTAGGAGGACTGGAAACAGGAAACCCCAGGTGGGGTGGGACAAGGTGTTGCATTCAGAGAATGGTCACGAATGAGAGGAAGCCAATGTGTGTGACTTGTTGAACAGAAAAAAAGAGGCAGCCCCTGGCCCAAGCACCCAAGGGCCTCCTCGCCTCTGTCAGCCCAAGATTGGGCTTGTCATCTCTCTAGCAGCCAACAGACACTGTCACCCCAGGCTGTATCAGAGCCTAACAGCTCCCACTGGGTCAGAGACCCACAGGATGCAGACCTCAGCCCTCCAACCTGCCCCAAAGCCTGAGGGGCTGATAGCAATGAGGAGGCCTGGGGCGGGTAAACTGAGTGGTCACAGGGGCTGGCTCCACACAGCTTCTTTAATCGCTGCAGGAGCCCCCACCTCCCATCAGCCAGTTCACCAGTCCAATCCAACAAAGGGACCCACGCCCCTGGGGAGACTCACCAAGCAGGCGCTGGACACATTACCAGAAGGCCTTCAAGCCCATCACCCAGTGCTCAGGCCCAAGGAGGAAGGGAGAGAGGCCAACAGGACTTTACATGTGGTTCCACTGCAGGAGCTGGAACTAGTGGGAGGGGATTTGTGT